CCGGTCCTCTCCGAGGTGGTGACAGAAAGGCAGGGGCACCTGCAGACCCATCTCCCCCGCCCAGACAGAAGTGTGATGCACCCCAGAGTCTCCCTCACGAGTCTACCTTAGGGCCAGATCTGGTTTTCAGGGCATACAGGGTCTACCGGGATTGGTGCTTCCTCTGGCCCTCTCCAGCTGCCACACACACATGTGGGGTCTACCTCCTAGAGTAACCCCTTTGTCCCACAACACACACTGTTCCTCAGGGCCCCTGACACACACAAAGACACAGACACAGAACTGCCCCCCGTAATTTATCCCCAGATAGGAAATCTGGCCACATAACCGGGACCTGCTCTGTAAAGAGAGTAACTCAGGGATGCCTGGGTGGCTCAGTGGATTAGGCATCTGCCTTCAGCCCAGGTCCTGATCCCGGGATCCTGGGATCAGCAGGGAGCCTGCTTCACTCTCGGCCTCTGCCTGCCACTTCCCCTGCTTGTATGCTCTTTCTCTCTCTCTCTCTCTCTCTCTCTCTGACAAATAAATAAAATCTTAAAAAAAAATTAATACAGTGAATGACTCAGAGCAAAAGGAGACTGTGAGGCCATTTGTCAACAAATTATTCAGAATTTCAGGAAAGTGATGGCAGAGCACTTGACCCAGCAAGCTAAGGGTCATTATGAGACTGGGGCCCTGTTGAATGGCTCAGACCCTCTGCTTCACCAGGGGGCTCCCCCATTGGCCCAGGAGAATGGGACAGAGCCAGGTGCATGTGGAGGGATCCGGAGGTCCGGGGGCCGGTACAGGTGGGAGAAGGGGGACCTGCGGCATGGATATGGTATCCAGGCCTTCCCACCACCCCCCAACTCATTCTCACTCACCTTGGAGAAGCCCATGGCTATTCAGGTCTCCAGGGGCTGTGACCTGGTGAGAGAGGAACAAGTGTATGCAGGAGTCTTCAGAGAAGCAGCCTCCCCACCACCCATGGAAAGTCTCTCTGGCTCCCTCCCCAGGCCCCAGCTCCCTCCCCAGGCCTCCACCGAGCCATCACCTTCTCACAGATTCTCCCAGCTGAGGTTTCTGAGGTTTCTGCTTCTGAGAAAGAGCCACTCTCTTAAGAAGAAGGAGGGAGGAGGGAGGAAGTTGGAGCCTGCCCTAAAGGCAGGATGTGGGGCTGTGTGTGTGTTTGACACAGAGACAGAAGCAAATGACAGGCAGGGAGACCCAAGGGCGTGAAAGGGGGTGGGTGGGCACAGCTCTAGCCTAAGCCCCTCCACACCCCGAGCTAGGGCAGGAATCTCAGAGCCTGGAAACAGGCCCCTTCCCCAATCTCATCAGCCTGGGATGAGGGAGGGGCAGTGGGAAAGTCCAGACTTGGGAAAGCACACAGAGATGTTCTCTGAGCTCTGGAAAATGAAGTCATCCAGTTGGGAGGTTAAGGTCCTGAGGAATGCTGGCCAGGTCACACGGAGTGGAGTGGATCCCAGCACCAAAGTCCAGAGAAGGTTCCAAGAACCTCCCGGCCCAGGGGTAGCAGGACCTGCTGGACCCCTGGGGTGGGCCCACCAGGCAGGGCACCCATGGGGTGCGCTGCAGGGATGGCTGGAGCTGATGCCCAGCTGCCAGGGGGCAGGGTGAAGCCCTCAGGAGAGGCTGAACGTGCCTTGCTGTCAGCCTAGGCCCGGATGACCAGGCGATCCTGAGCTCTCCTGGGGCCGAGGGATGTCATGGTCCTGCTGCCCTCAGGCACCTGAGTGTGGCGGGGCAGAGGGGGGACCTCCCAGGCGCCAGGCAGTCCTCGCACGCATGGCTTACCCCCAGCTCCCCCTGCAACCCCGCTCTGGCGCCAAAGCCCCTCCCAGTTCAGCACAGCCTCTGTCTTTCCGCTGTATGGGCGCCCGGGGCTCACACAAAAAAGTACTCAAGCCAAGGGTGCTTAAACTGCAGAAATGTTATCATCTCCCACTTCTGCAGGCCCCGCCAGGACTGGCTCACAAAAACCACCATCTGCAGCCATTTTGTGTTTCGTTGCGGACTGTGCCATTTTCTTTATGGTTTTAGTGAGAAAGAATTCACATACAATTCACCCATCCAAATGTATGATTTTCATCACCTCAAGGAGAAATCCCATACCCCTTAGCCAGAACCCCCAGATCCCAAAACCCCACCCCCACCAGTCCCAGGCAACCCCTCATCTACTATCTGTCTCCAGATTGCCCCCATTCTGGACATTTCATATAAATGGAGTCACATGGAAATGGTCACACTACGTGACCTTTGTGTCCAGCTCCCTGCACGCAGCAGTGTTTTCAATCCATGTTGGTGGCGACATGTATGAGAACTTCATTCCTGGGACGCTTGGGGGGCTCAGTCGGTTAAGCCTCTGCCTTCTGCTCGGGTCATGATCCCGGGGTCGTGGGATCGAGTCCCGCATCGGGCTCCCTGATTATCGGGAAGCCTGCTTCTCCCTCTCCCTCAGCTGCACTCGCGCTCGCTCTCTCTCAAACAAACAAATAAAATCTTACAAAAAAAGAACTTCACTCCTTTTTATGGCTGAATAATATTCCGTCGCAGGAGTCTGCCACCTTACATAGCCGTTCCCCTGCGGATGGGACATTCGGGTTGTTTCTACCTTTTGGCCATTATGAATCCTGTCTTTCGTGAGCACATGTGTGCAGGTTTCTGTAGACAGGTTTTTCCTTCTCTTGGGTAGACACTTAGGAGAGGAATGTCTGACTCATGGTAACTGTTTCAAAGTTACTGCACCGTTTTATATCCCAGCAGCAGCAGGAGAGGGTTCCAGTCCCTCCAGCACTTACGATGATGTTGTTTTGAGTTCAGCCACCGAAGTGGGTGTGAAATAGCCCCCCCGCCGTGTGGTCTGCAGTTGCTTTCCCCTTAGGACGAGTGACCTAGAGCAGCTCTCAGGTGCTTGCTGACCACTGGGGCATCTTCCTTGGAGGAGTGTCTATTCTGATTCTCTGCCCCTTTTTAAACGGGGTTATTACCCTTCTTGCAATGACATTGTATTTAAGAGTATGTTATATATTCCGGATACAAGTCTCTTCTCACATATATCCTTTGCAAATGTGGTCTCCCATTTTGTGGGTGGTCTTTTCATTCCTTATGGTGTCCTTTGAAGCACAGATGGGACCATGCCATTAAAAAATAAATAAAACTAATAATTTGGGGGCGCCTGGGTGGCTCAGTGGGTTAAAGCCTCTGCCTTCGGCTCAGGTCATGATCTCAGGGTCCTGGGATCGAGCCCCGCATCGGGCTCTCTGCTCAGCAGGGAGTCTGCTTCCTCTTCTCTCTCTCTGCCTGCCTCTCTGCCTACTTGTGATTTCTGTCAAATAAATAAAATCTTAAAAAAAAACCCTAATAACTTGATGTGACATTTTCCTGAAGTATACTTAATATATTTTTAAAAGCTAGAGAAGTTTCCACGGAGCAATGATAGCACAGATTTCACCTTGGACACTGGTCCTCTGAGCTCCCTGGCCGACTTTTAGGTTCCCCTCTCTGCTTTCTTCTCCCACTCATTCTCTCTCCATCTGCTGCCCCACTGCCCATCAACTCTGAACCCCACCTTCGTCTACAAAACAGAGTGAGATTCAGGTCTATCAAGCTCTTGTGGCCAAACTCATGCCAGGTCCATCTGTGCTCAGAAGCAATGAGGGGCTTTCATTTTCTTTGTCCTCCTGTACGGGGGCTCGTAAGATTTTAAAATACAAGTTTCCTCCTCCACCTATTTTGAAAGGATCCTGACAGGGGCCCGGACTTCTGGATTTCCGGCAGCTTAGGATCCAGGTCATGGACTGGTTGAAGACCTCTGGTTGTTGCCCTCCTACTGGTCCGCTTGTTGCAGCCCACCACCACCCGACCCCCTCCCCCGACTGACTGACAGGCAGGCAACCTCCCTGCATTCTGGGACTTCCGCCCTCAGCCCCCACCCCAGGCAGCCCTGTGGGCTGGAGGGCAACCCAAGAAATGGTGCCTAAGTGCCCCCACACATAGACCAGGGCCATCAATCTGACTCTACTGGGAATGTCAAGCGCTTGGCCCCTAGGAGGGAGAACATGGCAGAGACACAGGAAAACCACAGGACAGGGTTCCCAGCTGCTGTCCCAGCTCCCTTGCCCACCCCCAAGCTTACTCAAATGCAGACTTTTGCCCCCACCCCATTCAAGGTGAGGGTGTGAGGTCTGCAAGTTTGTTTTTGTTCGTTTGTTTCATTCATGTTTTTTGAGGTCTGCGTTTTTTGGTTGTTGGGGTTTTTTTTGAGGTCTGCGTTTTTAAGTTCCCTAGGTGATTCGGATGTAGAATATTCCAGAAGTATAGCTCCAGAGGCACTGATTTAGATCCTGAGTTCTGCGGGGAGTTGTGGCGGGGGTGAGTGAGGTGGCCCACCCACTATCACCCAGAGGTGCTGAGGAAGCAGTGCCCTGGACTGGGGAGAGCTAAGCCCACCCTGCACAGAGCTGAGGAGAATCCCAGAGTTCTCCTTGAGGGAAGCGGCAGACACTCCGGTGTGGAGGCACGGAGGGGATTTGTAGGGCTAGGAGGGTGTTCTGTTGAGCGGGGACAGTACTGGGTACAGAGTGGTGACCAGAAAGCAGGTGCATGGGGCTTAGGTTGTGGAGGGTCGCCTGGGTGGCCACTGATGTCACCCAAGATACACCCACGTGTGCTCAGGGGTAGCTTCAGGGCTGGGTCTGGGGTCTCCAACCCTGTGGCATTGACCAGTGTCTTGGAAGCGGGACAGAGTGGGACATTCCTGGGAAACTCTGAGCAGCGGGTGGAGACAGAGGCAGGGGTTCAGTTTCCCAGTCAGGCCGTTCCTCCAAAGCCCGAACAGCCCAGAGCTGCTCCTGAGAGCCACTGTCGCCCTGGAGGGGGTGGTTAAGGCTTCCCTCCGCGGCAGCTGCGCTCTAAGAAACACCAGCTATTCAGGGAAAAGGAGCGTCCGCTGGGAGGACAGCGCACTGGTACCCCTGCAACCGCGCAGGTGGGGCAGGGGAGGCGACGCGGTACACCTGACCTGCCCAGTCTAAGCGCCAGCTCTTTCTCCCCCGTCTCCAAGGCTTAGCTCCAACCACATGCTCCCAGCTGCCTCCCGCAGAGTCCCGCCCCTGGGAAGAGAGGATGCACCTCCGCAGGGACTCAGGACCACCCCCCAAACACACACACAGACCCTCAGTGGGAGACCGGTCCCCCTTAAGGGGAGGCGACGCCCCCCACCAGCAGGGCCAGAAGGGACAGCAGGAAGGACAGCGACGGCCTCCCTGAGGCCTCATTGATTTCGCAAGAGCAATCGCAGGTCCCGGGTTCCAGGGTCGCTTTGGGGGGCCTGGGGGAATGTGGACCGGCGCTGGGGGCCGGGCAGTCCAGCCACTTGGGGCCCATGGGCTGGGGGGAGTCAGGCTCGGCCTTGACGCTGCCCTTGGGAAAGCGCCAGTAGTGGGCGCCCTTGAAGAAGTAGGTGTCACCTGCACGGGAGAGAGGAGACACTTCGGGGCCGGTCCAGGCTGCTTCTCCCACGGCGCCGCGTCTCTCCCGAGAGCTCTCGGAAAACCCCGGGATGACCCCTCTCCCCGTGCCCAGGGCCTCCAGCCCCTCCCAGCACCCTCTCCCACCTGCGTTGCTGACGCTGACATCGTCCGGGGCGTGAGGCGCCCCTTCCCAAAGACTCAGGTCGCGGGGGTAGCCGGGGTCTGGGCGCGCCGCCGCCTCGTCGTAGCGCCAGTAGCGCCCGCCCCGGATCAGGTAGGTCTTCCCGTTCAGCGGCCACGAGAACACGGCGTCCACCTCCTCTCCCGCCGGCAGCCCCAGCTCGGTGAGCGGCCGCGGGGCGCCCTCCAGCTGCCGGTCCTGGAACACCCAGAACTGGGGGCCTGCGGGGCGGGGGCGGGGAGGGCCGCTCAGGTGAGCAGGTGCGCCCCCGCCCCCATCCCGCGCGGGCCCCAGCGCTGTCCCGGCCCCCACTCACCGCTGAACAGCAGGATGCGGCCGTCGGGATGCCGGGCGTAGGCGGCCTGGATGACCTTCACCTCCACCGGCAGCCCCTCCCAGAAGCGGTGGAGCCGCGCGGGCCGGGGGGACACCAGCTGGCCCGAGGGCTGCAGGCGCCAGAACCAGGGGCCTGTGGTGGGAAAGGGGCGGGCGTGGGGGCATGAGACGGCAACAGATCTCCCTCCCGGCGCGTGGCTCGGGTACAGTGGCCTTGCTTTGTGGTTTTAGCCTTTAAAGTGCTGCATCCTGGGGGGAAAAAAACCAACTCTGTGGGGTCGGGAGATCCGGAGTGACTGACTCACCTTTGAAGAAGAATATCTCACCACGGATGTTAGCAATGGCGTCGAAATTGCCGTCACATCGGTCGGGGACGGGAAGAGAGGGGCTAGGGAGGAAAGGAGACGTGAGCTGAGAGGGGCCGGGGCTCCTGGTCTATTGGCTTAACTGTTAGGACAGTCCTATGGGTTAGGGACGCTCACTATGCCCATCTCACCAAGGACCACCCTGAGGTTAGGGACTTCACCCCGGGTGGTGCAGCGGGGGGGGCCTCCCCTGTCGGGGGGCAGGGCAGGGGGCGGGGGAGCAGGGGCCAGGGGTTTCCTTGTGGGCTTATCGTAGGGGGTTTCGGGCACCTTCCCTGTGGAGAGAAAGTCAGCAAGGCCTGAGTTGCCTGCCTTGCTGCAGCGGAGGCCGCGGGCAGAGCACTCCTCTCCTGCCCCCATACCGTAGAGCTGCTGCAGGCCTTCGCGGTCATCCTGGGACAGGCGGTACTTGTGGGGTTCGCCAACCGGGCCCTGGTAGAAGGGCCTCATAATCGAGTTGGGTGCTGAGGAGTGGCCCAGGCCCAGGGCGTGGCCAAACTCATGGACAGCCACAGCGAACAGGTCAGTCCCCTCGCCATCTGGGGAAGGAGGGAACTTGGACTAGACCTGTGCCCCTCCCCCACACCGGGAAGGGAGGCAGTCTGGAAGCCCCTGGGTGGGGCCTGCCTGGCAGAGAGGAGCAACCAGGAGACCCTCCAGAGATGGCTGTCCCCAGACCCTTCCGCGAGCCATTTTGTCCTTCTTGTGTGCGTTCACTTATTTGGTAGATTTTTTTTTTTAGTAGCCTTATTTGGCAGTTCTGGAAACTTGGGTACCAGGCTGAAGAGACCCACTGAAGAGGTTAGGAGGAGACAGTCTAGACAGAGGAAGCCGGCCCTCAGGCAGGGAAGCCTGTCCATAAGGAACACTCTGACGGAAACAGGAACATAGGGATGCATTTCTCTCTCTCTCTCTCTCTCTCTCTCTCTCTCAGAAGCCCCAGTCCCTGGAGTTTCCCTCCTCTCGGCTTGTCTGTGGTCAGAACTCCCCTCCCATGGTCTCCTCAGCCTCTGTCCCCAAGACCTTCACTCCGCTCCCACCCTCATGGCACTCCCCCTCTTCCCATGCGCACCCCTCCAGCGCCCCCACCCCTCAGTCCTCTGTCACCCTCCCCCATCTCCCCCTTCCCACAGCCTCCACCCTTCCCCTGCCTCCCCAGGGTCCCGGCTGCCTTCCTGCCTCTACAGTCCATCCACCTCCTCCGGCAGGCACTCTCAGACCACAGCCTGCTGGCCCTGGCAGCCAGCCTCGTACCCAGCCTCTCTGACCACAGCCTCTTCCTTGGGGACCAGCCTGGGCGCCAGGATGAGCCTCTTTACGCTCCCAGTTGCTGGCCAAATCCCAGCTCCTCATCGATCCACGGGCCAGCTCCTGCTCCTGCTGCTGAGAGGCCAAGAGACCACGACAGCAAGATGGCAAGAGAGGCAAGCAGCCACCCAAGGAGGCACGATGTCCACAGATGCTGATCTACTGCATGCAAATCTCTAACTCGGGCCAGTGCTGCTGAAAGTGGGTTTATTGGAAGGGACCTGGTGATCCGAAAAGCAAATTTCTCTCAACCCCTAAGGGCTTCTGGATGAGAGTATAAGAAAGAAATGGGTGAGCAAGTCTTAAGAAGAGCAGTGAGTACTTGTCCACATTTTCCTCTCATAAAACCCCTTCTTCCTGTCCTCATTTGATGGGTGGGAAACTGAGGCACAGGGAGGTCAAGTCCAATGACGGTATAGCCAAGTCCTCTGCCTACATCGTGCTGCCTTTCAGCAGTGACTTCAGATGGTCTGGGTCAAACTGCACAGGTACTGAAGGATTTTGTTGGCTGTGGGTTTTCTTATTGCCCTGGAGCCTTTTTCTGAGAAACAGGAGGAAGTTTGGTGTCCACATCAAGTAGATGTCCTTCTTCCCTCACCTCACCCCTCCTATCCCTGCTTTGCCTCTCCTTTGGCCACACCCTTCCTTGCATCTTCCCCTGCTTTGCAGCTGGGGGAAGACACACCACTGCAGCCCCAGCCATGAGATCCCAGGTGCCCTTTCTTCGGGGTCCTCGACACCTCCGCTTAGCTCTCCTCTAGACCTCAATGGACAGCTCCTCTTTGCTCTCCACTAGCCTGAATGCCAGGCACATGGCCCCTCAGGCTGCACCCTAGCTCTGGCCCCCAACTCTTAGGTGACAAATGCTGACAAATGTGTTTCCTATTTCATCAAGACAGGCCATCCGATGTAATCTGTAACTTCCTGTGTGCCTGGGCAGACAGCTCCACCTCCCCCACGCTCACCTCCTGCCCTGCCCTGTCCTATGCAAGGACCTCACTTCACTTACCTCCAAAAGGATAAGGACAATGCCCCACCCATCCCTCCATCCATCCCTGCATCCATGTGTCTAAGGATGTCTATGTCTATCCATCCTTCCATTCATGCATGCATCCATCCATCCACCTGTCCATACATCCATCCACCCATCCATTTGTCCATCCATCCATCCATCAATCTATCCATCCATCCATCCACTTGTCCATCCATCCATCCTTCCATTCATGCATGCATGCATGCATCCATCCATCCACCTGTCCATCCATCCATCCATCCATCCACTGTCCATCCATCCATCAATCTATCCATCCACCCATCCACTTGTCCATCCATCCATCCTTCCATTCATGCATGCATGCATCCATCCATCCACCTATCCATCCATCCATCCATCAATCTATCCATCCATCCATCCACTTGTCCATCCCATCAATGTATCCATCCATCCATCCATCCATCCACCTGTCCATCCATCCATCCATCCACTTGTCCATCCATCCATCAATCTATCCATCTATCCATCCACTTGTCCATCCATCCATCAATCTATCCATCCATCCATCCACTTGTCCATCCATCCATTCATCAATCCATCCATCCATCCATCCATCCATCCACTTGTCCATCCATCCATCCATCTATCCATCCATCCACCTATCCATCCATCGATCTATCTATGCATGAATCCATTCATCCATTCCCCATCTCTTTCTTTCTGTTGGCTCACCCAGCATCACGAAGTGCTCAAGTCTCCCTCATCCTAAGCCACCCCAGTACCTATCTGCCCACCTCCACCCCCCTGACCTTCCCTAGCAAGTTCTGTGGTCAGTGGTCTAAACTCAGTCTTCACTTCCTCAGCCCCTCTCACGCCTCACTTCACGCTGGTCAGGACTCCTCCCCCACCCGCCAAGTCTGTAGGCCCCAAGGTCACTTTGTCCATAGATGATCAAATCCAGGCCCATGTAACATACTGGCCTGGTTGCTGCCCTGCCCACTGCTGCCTGAGTCCTTCGTCACTCTCATTCCTGGTCACCTGTGGACATGTTCTTTCTGCATTTCCCTTGGTTCCTCCTCTCTTTCTCTCCTCCCCTTCACTGTGGGGCTCTCCACAGCTCTGTGCTTGACCTTCACGTCCTACACTCCCCTCCCGGAACCTTACCAACCTCTGAATGCCACCGGACCAGCTCATAGCAGCTGGCCACGAGTGGAGTGCTACTGTGTGCAGGGCTCGTGCTGACAGCTATAGGGGAATTACAAGCCCACCTGCCAGCAGGCACTATTATAATCCCCATTTCTCAGATGACGAAACTGAGCCCTGACCGGAGTTCGCTTCTAGCCAGTGTGCTTAAATGCTGCGTTATACAACCTCACTTCTGTGGATGCTATGGGTACCTCGTCCAAGTCAGACCCTGTGTGTCCCTCTCCTGGATGCCCCCTCCCCCGGAAAATGGCTTTCCCTCCTGCCAGCCTTCCTGCCATGGCTCACAGCCAACGGAACGGCAGCTTGCAGAGTGACTAGAAGACCTGGACCCCTGGCCTCCAGGCGGGACCAGCAATATGGGTCAGGCTGCTCTCAGCTGAGACCGCATCCTGACTTAGCTGCTTTCCCCAGCCCGCTTTTATTTCCCTTTCCCCCGAGAACATACCCTGAGAAACTGCTTGCACAAGAACTTTCATCTTGAGCTGTGCTAAAGGGGAACCTGACCCAAGTCTGAGAAGTCCCAGTTCTAGAGCAAGACACTTGACCATGAAAGCATCGCCCACATTGAATAGCCCACAAGGGCAGCCAACACGCAGCCAACCTGAACTCCCCTCTGCCTTCTGAGAGCCTGCCCTTCCTCCTCCAGGGTCCCCTGAACCATCACCCCTTCCTCCCACCCCCTCTGCCACCAGGGTTCAGTTAGACCCCACTCTTTGCCCGTCCCGACTCAACTGTCCTCTGACTCCCATCACCATCTTTTCTGGACCCTGCAGCCAGGGGCGTTTCCAGAATGCCAGACCTCCCATGGCTCCCATTCCCTTCCCCCATCCTCCCCATTCTGTCCCTGTGCTTCCAAGACCCTCTGTGTTATGAGACACACCATCCATCCGTCCTCTACAGCCTGCCTCCCAACACCGTATTTCAAACTCCCAGCCCCAGATGGCCCCCTGTGCCCCTCCCCCTGGCGACCTGGACTCAGCGAGCTCACTGACTTGCTCTTTTCTCTGCATCCTCCCCGTAGCCCCCCACACCCTGGGGGAACAGGACCTCATGTGCTAGTTGGCCCTCAGTATACATATGCGGGATGAACAAAGTCACCACTTCTAGGAAGCCCTGTCAGTCAAAGGCTTTGGGTAGGCCTCTCTTCTGAGCACTGGAGGCTAGAGGACTTCCTCTGCTAGGATTCCCCCAAGTTGCATCATCGTGTGTAGCAACTGCCGGTTACTATTCTGACTCAGCTGCTGGAAGGAGCTGTTTTCATCTCTTTAAGTCCGCAGCTCAGGGCTGGGACGCCTGAGAGGCCTCGGTGATGGGTAATTTTCCGTGTCAACTTAGCCAGACTAGGGTGCCCAGTGGTTTAGTCAAACACCAATGTAGATGCTGTCATGTAGGTTATTTTGTAGACGTGATTAACATCTACAATCAGTGGACTGTAAGTAAAGCAGATTGTGGGCCATGGTGGGTGGGCCTCGTCTAAGCAGTTGAAGGCCCTAAGACCAAAACCTGAGGTTTCCCAGAGAGAAAGGAATTCTGCCTCCAGATTGCAACACAGAAATCACACCTGGGCTTCCAGCCACCTGGCTTGCTCTGAGGATATCAGACCCAGGACTGCAGCACTAACTCTCACTTGAATTCCCAGTCTTGCGTGCCTGTCCTACAGATTTTGGATTTGCCGGCCTCCACAATGCCGTGAGCCAATTCCTTGAAATAAATCACTGTCCACGCACACACACACAACCTACTGGTTCTGTTTCTCTGGAGAAGCCCAACCGCTATAGTCTCCATCAATACATGTGATTGAAACCGAATTCTTAAAGACAGACCTGGGGAGAGGATGTCTCAGAATAGGGAGATCATACCTTTTGAGCCGTAAGTCCAGGTTTCCTCATCATCAAAATGAGTGTCACCAGAGATGGGATGCTCCCCGGGGAAGAAGGCGTGGGCGAGGGTACCTCCCTGCCCGTCGAAGGGATAACTGTCCTGGTGATATGCCCGGGCGAAGTCGATGAGGATGTCGGGCTCTGTTGGGTCCTGAGAAACCAGCTCCTGGAATCTGAGGCCTGACTCAATGCCCCAGGTGCTCAGGGCATGGTGCATGAGGGTCCGCACTGTCTCCGAGGTCAGAGCTGAGTTCTGGGGGAAGGAGCGAACCCTGGGGAGACAGAAGGCAGCTGTTCCACACCGGGCCCAGCAGGCAGGCGGGCGGGGTGCGTCCCGGGACCTACCTCCATGTTAGGGTTCGCTTCTCCCACTTGCTGTTGCTCAGAGCGTATCGGCGCCGGCGCCGGCGGCGCCTGACCAGCTCGGCCACCCCCAGCACATCGGGCAGGGAGCAGCGGGGCCTCTGCATGGTGGCCACCGTCACGCGGTCTGGGAGAGAGGGTGTGGGGGGAAGGGGATCAGCAGTAGGACAACCTGCTCTACCCCGTTGTCTACCTGGTAGCTATCAGCTAACTTCCTACACGGACACACTGAGGCTTGGAGACGTTAAACAACTTGCCCAGGAAGCCCCATGGCTTGGATGTGAGCACGGGCTCTCCAAGTCTGGTAGACAGCTCAGGTCAAATTAGGACTCTGCTCTTCAGGGCAGTGTCACCCTCTTTACTGAGCCCTGGACGGACTGGCTGCCTCCATGTGGTGATCAGATCTGGGATCTGGGGCTCCTGCTTCCCTGGGCCCCGGTGCCTGGACTCTGGAGAAAGGAGCCCCGGGGCTGCTTGAGGATTCCTCTCATCGAGGCCGGAGCCCCTTGGAACATTGCTCATCCGTACCTCACACTCTAGGTCCCTATCCTCACCACACATCCTAAAGTCCAAAGCCCCCAGGTTTTGGGGTCTCCCCAGATTAGATCTCCCAGTCTCCCAGATTAGATCTGCCTGGAATCCCCTTTCCTAGCTCAGCTCCCTTCCCAGCTGTCCCCCCATCTTCAAATGAAGATCAAACCTCACCTCATTGGTTGAGGTGACAAAAAGTATCCAGTGGACAGGACAGAGAAAGGTCCTACCTCCCTTGTAGCTCGCCAGCATCCCCCAAGTTCTCTCTTCCCCACTCAGCGCTACCTCCAAAATATGTACCCTGGATTCAATTGCCTCCTTCCTGGTCTCCACTCCCACCCTCCAGTCTCCATCAGCAAGCAGAGGAAGCTTCAACTGTAAAGCCAATCCAATGGCCTCCCTCCTTCAAACCCTCCAGTGGTTTATCATGCTTGTAATCAATCCCAAACACCTTTCAACCATCGCCCCCCCCTCCAATTCCCAGTCAGGTTCTTGCTTAATTTTTTAATCCTCTTCTCGTCACAGGTACACCAGTTTGAGCCTACCACAGGGTCTTTGCACTTCCACCAGGACACTCTTCTCCCACATCTTCCCATGGCTGGCTCCTTCTACTTGCATCTTATGAGTTCTTTATGTCATGTGAGCTCCTCTCACCCCATGACACCTTCCAGAGTGATCTGCCCTGACTAGCATTTTATCTTCTTCAAAACACAAATAACTAACTGAAATTATCTCGCATATGTTTGTTCTCGAACTGTATGTGTGAGTCCCATGAGAGCAGGGACCTTTTCTGCTTTGTTCATCACTGCACCAGCAGAGCCTGAAATGGCCTTACACGTAAGAGATTCTTAGTAAATACTTATTGAAAAAGGAATGCCTGAGAATCTCATGGGTTTGGCCCCAAGACCAGCGTTTCGTAGATCCTGTGATTCAGGTGCACGCTGAGGTTTAGCTACTGCTGGCTAATGGTCAGGCTGGGTGCAGAGGCAGGGCTGGGGAGGGGTGGGGGTCCACCTACCCAGGATGCCTGTCTCAGGTAGGCCAGCAAACCTCTGCATGACCTTGATAGCATCCCTCAGCTTTGCAGGGCTCTGCAGCTGGGCTTGGGCAGGGTGGGGTGGTGGCAGATAGCCATAGCGAGTCAGCCAGTCCTAGACCAAAGGAGGGAACAGGTGAAGCGGAGTGAGTGGGAGAGACACCCCCTTCCTACCACCATTCTGGAAGCCCCCCCGCCTTGCCCCACATCCGGGCATCCGGAGCACAGGGGGGCCCAGCTGTCCCCAGGTGACCGCCTGTTGTCTATCTCAAAGCCCAAGCTCTCCAGCCCTGGGTTGTGTCCGCCCCAACAGTCCTGTCCTCCACCTCCCCATCCCTACCCCTCAACAGATCTTCAAATCCCAGCCCCCTAACAGATGGGGCCAAGAATCTGGGTTCCCCAGACCCCATCCCCAGTCACTCTCTGGCAACTGAATCAGCCCCCAGCCTCGTCCGGACCCCACCCCCACCCCGAAGATCCCAGGAACGTGAAGACCCCCCGCACTCACCACTCCCAGGCTCACGTCCTGCGCGGAGGGCTCCAGGGCGCTCACCGGCGACGGAGGCAGCAGCGGGAGCAGCAGCGCCAGGAGCCCAAGCATGCCCGCGGGGCTCGAGGGGGTCTGCCCAGGGCCGCTCTGGGGACCTACGCGAGGGGGTCTGGGGCCCGGAGAGGCTCGGGGAACCCCGCGCGAGGTAGGAGGGGTGGGCCGGAGCTCCGGAGGCCGCGCTGCGCGCCCGGGGTTCCTGGGAGGCACGACTCGAGGTACCCGGAGACGTCCCGCGGGGGGCCCAGGTGGGCCGGGTGGCCGCGGGTCCCGGGAGGGTGGAGAAGGCGCGAGAGGAGGCGGAGGTGCAGGCTCCGGGTGCGCGGCCGCGGCCTCTGGGTCCTCGGCCGGCTCCGCAGGACCCCGCGCTGCGCGGGCGGCCCCTCCCTCCGGGCGGGGCAGGGCGGCCGCAGCCGTTGAGCGGTAGCGACCCGGCGAGGCCAGTGGCCCAGCCTTTAGACGCCCAGCGAGCAGGGGGGAGCCGGCTTCTTGGACCGCGGGCGGCGCGGGTGAGGGGCGGCGAGGAACCCCCGCCGAGCGCCCCCGCCTCCCGTCCCTGGCCGCGCCCGCAAGTTTCTCTTCCCAGAATCCGGCTCCCCCGGGACTCTCCGCCGCACGGCTTGTTTCTGCTTTCTCCACCGCGCGCAGCCGGCCGGGTGAGGGGAGACTCCGGGGCGCCCCTCCCCACGCCGCCCCTGCCGGAGACCCCGAGGCCCGCCGCCAGAGGCTGGGACGCTTCCACTCTCCGCGGGGTCCAGGGCCCGCTACCCGCCTGGCTCCGCTGGCGCCCCGGCGTGTCCGCTGCCGCTGCCGGGGCTCGGCGCCTTCACTCCCCGAGCCCCGTGGGCTGTGCGGGGGCTCTGCGTCCGCGGGCCGGGGTCCGGGCCTCCCGGAGACGGCGCCCCCTCCCGCTGGTGTTAGCCGTGCAAGAGCCGGTGCCCCGCGCGCAGAGGCTGGAGCTGCAGCCCAGGGCGGGACGCGCAGCGCGGAGGAGGGGGTGAACCGGAGCGGATCCGACAGAGACCTGGGGACCCGCAGAGCCACGCCTCACCCCCGCCGGGGAAGCCCAGGGCTACAAGGCGGTGCCGCAGGAGACGGATGGGGAGGAATGGGGCGGGGGAGGGGACTTCCCGGCGAGGGCCGAAGGGCGTGCGGGTCCCACCGCTCTGTCTCTGCAGCAGGGCAGCGATGGGCGCCCTGTGGCTTAAATAAAATAAATAACGAGCAGGATGAGCGAGCTCCAGATACAAACTAAAACACAGAAATCCTGTATGCGTCCCCGCCAGCTGCGCTAACAAACCACCGCGGACCGGGTGCCGGAAACAACACGAATTTATTTCTGGAGGCTGGACGGCCAAGACCCAGGTGCCGGCAAGGTCTGATCTTCCGGCCAGTTCAGTCCCTCCGCTGGGCTTGCAGGTGGCTGCCCGGGGCTCGTGCCCACCTGGTCTTCCCTCTGCGCCCGGCAGCCCTGGCCCACATCTCCTCTCACCGCTAAGGGCACAGTCAGGCCACCCTCACGGCCTCGTTTTGCCTTCGTCGCCTCTGGAAAGGGCCTGCCTCTCAGAACAGTCACAGGCTGAGGTCCTAGGGATGAGGACCTCAACACCGCGGCTGGGGGTGGGGTGGGGTAAGAACACAGCACAGTCCGTGGTCAATCCCAAGTGCAACGAAAGCCTGCACTTCCCCTTCCCAGCTTCTCCTTGACCCTCCAACTCCTACCCCACTCAGGAGGCTTCCTGACACCAACTGTGTGTTGGGTTTTCCCCAAAGCAAAACATTATTTGGGACAGGGGCTGAGTGATTCCTGTTCCTGTGGTGCTGGATGTTACCACCCAGAAACCTTCCAAAGCCCAAACTTTGGAGAGTTTTATGGAGGCTTGTCACATAGGCACGCTCAACTAATAATTCAATCTCTGGTCCCTCTTCCCTCCCTGGGTGATGGGAGATGGGGCTGAATTTCCAGGCTTCCAGTCGTGGGTTGCTCATTTAGCCTCTGTCCAGGAGCTCTCCGGGAGTCACCTCCTTAGAATAAGACACTCCCATCCCCCAGGAAATTCCAAGGGACTTAGGAGCCCAGTGTCCGGAACTGGGGTCAAAGAGCAAATGTTAGAACAGAAGATGATTTTAGTGCTCTTACCTTTTAGGAAATTACAGGAGATTTAAGACCTCTGTGCTAAGACCCATATATGTATTTTCTTCTGTTATTTATCTCTCTCTCTCTCTCTCTCTCTCACACACACACACACACACACACGCCCCTAGTCTCTGGCCACACGACCCCTTGCAGCAAAATGATAGTACGGCACATTACTAGTATCCCATCCAGTTCTTGGGAACCATTCCAGTCCATCGTTCTCTTGCATGAAAACATCTCTCAGGGTGAGGCCGGTCACCGGGTTTGAAGTCCTCTCCTCGATCTGGTCAGGGTGCAGAAGCAGGAGTGCTCTCAGCACATGCATGGTTTTGCTTCGCCCTTATGGACATCCAGTATAATCGAGCTAAGACGACAACAGCATCTCTTGCTCGGAGCCTCCTTGGAGGGGTTCCTGGGGCGCTGGATTTCCCTTACGACATAACTCATTTAGTCATTACTTTATATCCCCACCCCGTTTTAGACAACCAATGCTTTAATTGCCTCTCCCAATTCTCTACCAAACCAGTCTCCGAGGAGGATATCTCTTTGCCCGCTGTGGGACATTACCGGCTGGCAGTGGTGGTTCTTGGTCTGAAGAAATGTTGGTCTCCGTTCTGGTTAGTTTCTGGCTCTCTGAGCACGTCCATCCACCTCTGGCTCAGCAAAGCCCGGTCCGGAGTCGGTGTCTCTTCCTGTGGGGACCCATCTGCCGCCTCCAGAATGACCACGGGCATCCCTGTGACGATGTGTCAGCACGTTCTGTAGTTCTGTAGCCTCTGTCCCTTCAGCAGGCAGAGGAACAGTTCCTACTGCCATTTCCCATCCTAGAAGCCATGGGGGGAGTGAGTGTCGATTCTGCCCCCCAGGCCCCCCCACATCCACTCATTCTGTGGACCCGGGCGGCCACGTTAGGTGAGTGCATGGGGATATCTGATTGTGGATTCCAGTCACCTTCCAAACCTGGAAGGGGGCTCTTCTGATGGGCTTCAACACACCCTACTTTCTTTAATGCACCCTGCAAATTCCCACAGTGATTTCCACGGGAGCGAGCCCCAGCTGGGCACCTCTGTAGTCAGCCGGGTTGCCACTGTCCTCCCGCCTGTGTGTCAGTAGAAACCAAAACATAAGGACTTTTTAACCCTGCTCAAGTCTTCCTTCACAGCTGGAAAAACAGCCCGCAATTCAGCCCACCGGACTGACTTGTTCATACCTTCCTTGATCAGAGTGGCCATCTTCCGAACAGGATGCTGTCAGTTCCCTTCAGAATGGCCATCCATGGGGCGCCTGGGTGGCTCAGTGGGTTAAGCCGCTGCCTTCGGCTCAGGTCATGATCTCAGGTTCCTGGGATCGAGTCCCGCATCGGGCTCTCTGCTCAGCAGGGAGCCTGCTTCCCTCTCTCTCTCTCTCTCTGCCTGCCTCTCTACTTGTGATCTCTCTCTGTCAAATAAATAAATAAAATCTTTTAAAAAAAAAAAAAAAGAATGGCCATCCATAGAGAGCAAGCAGCTCCCTGATGGTCAACGGAGAGCTGCCTGCCAGGCACAGTCCCAGGGGCAACGGAATCCCGCTGCTCCTTCTGTAGTTCCGGACTCAGCCCTGGAAAGAGGCTTCCGTGCTCAGAGCATTCCCCAGGCAGCAGTCCCATGTAAGCCATTTTTGTTTTCTCAGGGCACGCTGCTGGGCACTGCCCTCCTGAGAGTGTCTCTCTATCATGGGTGACAACAGGTGCCAAGACAACATGGGTGTAACAGGTGCCAAGATCATTTTTTTAAGGTTCTTTTTATTTATTATTTGACAGACAGAGATCACAAGTAGGCAGAGAGGCAGGCAGAGAGATAGAGGGGGAAGCAGGCTCCCACCAAGCAGAAAGCCCAATGTGGGGCTCGATCCCAGGACCCTGGGACCATGACCTGAGCCGAAGGCAGAGGCTTAACCCACTGAGCCACCCAGGAGCCCCGCCAAGATCATTTTAAGTCCTTCCCTCACCAGGGTAACTTCACTCTATGTCGGGAGCAAGGTAGTAAATACCCGTTAAATGGAGGATTCTGTAGTCCGAAGTCCCAGTGGTTGTCGCTGGGGGGCGCTCACAGGCTTGTGCCCGTCTGCACTCCACAGGGGCCAGAACACAGAGAGTCGCGCCTCCCACCCCCATTAGCTGGAGGAAACATTCCCCAGTGGGGCACATTGCCCATCCCCAAAGTACAATCTGCCTTAAGAGACTCAACCATCTCATGTAACACCTGTTCCAACATACCAGTTCTCCGACTTTTACCTTAATTCCACCAACCCTCACATTCCTGACTGGTAATCTCTGTTTAGTACTTAACCCACTCAGGGCAAAACCGAGAGGTTTTGGTTGTACAATACAAAGGTGGGGGCGTGTTTCCTAATGTGACATAATATCCACTTGCATAAAACAGTACGTAAAGGAGACACAACCTCCTGCCAGCAGGCCCGCCCGAACATTCCAACTTGCACCGTTTTACCAACGCTGACATTCTTACCTCCCATCTAATCGTAGCCCAAGTCAGGGCTTCGCCAGTGGTCGGTGGCAAAGTGCACGGGGCTCCTAGGTCAAGGAGTCCGGAAACTTCTCTTCTCCATCCCGGATCACTCATGCCAAAGGCCTTGGATCAGGGAAGATCCTGGGGAAATGGTGGAGGAAGCAGCACTGGGAATTGTCTCCCCACCAGACAACAAGTGCGCTAACAGAACCTCCAGGAACCACTTCAGAACTCTAGAGTCCTGCGGAAGGCTTACACCTTCTGGGGGAGGCTCTGGGAGGCAGACTGCCGTGGATTTCAGCTTTTAGCACAGTAGCAGCACTCTCCAAGCCGAGCCCCACACAGGAAGCCACGCTGCAGCTCGTGGGAACTAGGGTGGACAAAAGGGACCCTGTCCTCCAGATATCAGGAATTTCAGCCCAGAGATGCACAGAGGTGGGCAGCCACTGCTGTCCCCCACCCACTGTGGTGAGCCCCTGTCTCTCTTGCCGAGGTGACTACCAGGGGATTTGAAGGGCCAGTGCCTTAAGCCCCCCTCATTGTCCACTTTTCCGCTTTCGGGAGCCAGACATTAAAAACTAGAACATTTGCAGTCAAATGCTCTACTACTGGGCTATACCCCCCAAAACTAGAACATTTGAAACCACTGCATATAATGGAGACAGAAAATAGAGTAGCATGGTGGTTACCAGGGGCTGGGCTCGCGGGCGAAGGAACTGGGGAGATGTGGTTTCAGTAGTAGGTCATGGAGATCTAAGATCCAGGACAGGCATTACAGTCAACACTCCCATGTCACATGCTTCAGAACTGCCCGGTGATGAGATCTTAGGGGTTCTCACCACATGGAAGAAACGATAATGATGTGGTGTGCTTGCAGTGTTCGTGGGCACCACTGGTGGTAGCTGTTGCTGTGTATAAATGTGTCAGATAAACACAGTGCACACCTTCCACTTACACAGTGTTACGTGTCCATTATACGTCAGCTAAAGAAAACACCAGCCCCCGCTCCCACCTCCGAAAAACCACAATGAAACAAAACAATTGTGCATGGGGTTGGGAAGGTGGAGTGAGAAAGCGACTGCACGTGTCCCAAGAAGGGCTCAGACAGGACCTGGGAAGAGGGTAAGTGTACCCCGGAAGATGCTCCCAGGCGCGGAGACCGCCACGACCTTCACAAAAACACACAATCCACAAGCACAATAACAAAGAGGGAGGAAGAATCTGGGGTCCAGAGCTACAGCATTGTTAGACTCAAATGTCTAGGGTTCCACCAAAAAATCACGAGTCCGGCTGGCTGACTCAGTCAGTGGAGCAGGTGACTTTTTTTTCTTTTTTTAAGATTTCATTTATTTATGTGTTTATTTGTTTATTGAGCATGTGGTGGGGAGGCACGGAGGGAGAGAAAGAAACTCAAGCAGACTCTTCACTGAGAGCCGAGCCCCGTGCAGGATTTGATGTCACAACACTGAGATCAGGAGACTCAGCAGGTGACTTTTGATCTTGAGGTTATGAGTTCAAGGCTGGTGGTGGGTGTAGAGATTACTTTAAGAAACAAACAGGGGCGCCTGGGTGGCTCAGTGGGTTAAAGCCTCTGTCTTCAGTTCAGGTCATGATCCAAGGGTCCTGGGATTGAGCCCCTCATCCGTCTCTCTGCTCAGCAGGAGCCTGTCCCCTCCTCCCCCAACCTCCGCCTGCCTCTCTGCCTGCTTGTGATCTTTCTCTGTCAAATAAATAAATAAAATCTTAAAAAACAAAACAAAACAAAAAACCAACCAGGATCGCCTAGGCGGCTCAGTGGGTGAAGCATCCTCCTGATTTCCGCTCAGGTCAAGATCTGGGTGTTGTGAGATCCAGCCCAGCGTGGAGTTCCGTGCTCACCGGGGAGTCTGCTCTCCTTTGCCCTCTGCCCCTACCCCCCTCTAAAATAAACAAATAAATCTTTTTTTAAAAAAGGCATACAAGGAAACAGGAAAGTATGGCCCACTCAAAGGGGAAAAAATTAAATCAACAGGAACTGTACCTAAAAAGACCTAATGGCAAACAAATACTCTTAAGATTCTACTTCTAGGGGCAGCTGGGTGGCTCAGTCATAAGCGTCTGCCTTCGGCTCAGGTCATGATCCCAGGGTCCTGGGACTGAGCCCCGCATCGCATCAGGCTCCCTGCTCAGCAGGAAGCCTGCTTCTCCCTCTCCAGCTCCCCTTGCTTGTGTTCCCTCTCTCACTGTGTCTCTCTGTCATAAATAAATAAAATCTTTATTTTTAAAAAAAGATTTAGGGGTGCCTGGGTGGTTCAGTGGGTTAAAGCCTCTGCCTTCAGCTCAGGTCATGATCCCAGAGTCCTGGGATCGAGCCCCGCATCGCATTGGGCTCTCTGCTCAGGGGGGAGCCTGCTTCCTCATCTCTCTCTGCCTGCCTCTCTGCCTGCTTGTGATCTCTGTCTGTCAAATAAATAAATAAAATCTTTAAAAAAAAGACTTAAAGAAAATCTTAAAAAAAAAAAGATTCTACTTCTATGAAGTACTAAGTGTCATCAAAACCACAGGAACCGAGAGTAGATGGTAGGTGCCAGGGGCCAAGGGACTGGGCAAGGGGAGTCAGTATTTAATAGGGACACAGTCTGGGTTGGAGCAGCTGAGGGGGGTATCTGGGAGCGGATGGGTTGAGGGCTTCAGGACAGTGGGAATGCTGGCAGTACCTGAACAGCTGAGATGGCAAAGTTTCAGTCTGTGTATTTCCGCCACAGCGAAAAAAAGATTGATGTTGAAGACAAACAAAAAGAGCCAGGCGACCAAACAGATCACCCTGCGTGGTCCCACGTATAGTCAGTAAGTGTGAACTAATTGATGGTGCTAAAAGGCAGATCAGTGCTTGCCTGGGCAGGGCTGGGGGAGGCAAGAGGCATGAGGTTAATGTGGGGAGGTTATGAATACCACCATGACCATAAGGGTTTTAGTATATAGATGTGTCCAAATGTGTCAGATTGGACACATTGTTCCCATTCCATCAATTCAACATTTATGCACCCCACTTAAAAGAAACTATCTAGAAAAACAACAACAGAGGCACCTGGGTGGCTCAGTGGGTTAAAGCCTCTGCCTTCAGCTCAGGTCATGATCCCAGGGTCCTGGGATCCAGCCCCGCATAGGGCTCTCTGCTCAGTGGGGAGCCTGCTTCCTCCTCTCTCTCTGCCTGCCTCTCTGCCTGCTTGTGATCTCTGTCTGTCATATAAATAAATAAAATCTTAAAAAAAAAAGCAAATCCTTATATTCTATTAAAAAAAAAAAAAAGATTTCCACCCTGCTGGGATGTGTCCTGCCACTCCAATCTCCTTTCTCTTTCTCCTCATCGTTTTGTTTCTATCACTCCACTTCCCTTATTCTTTTTTTTCTTTTCTTTCTTTTTTTTTTTTTTTTTGACAGACAGAGATCACAAGTAGGCAGAGAGGCAGGCAGAGAGAGAGGGGGAAGCAGGCTCCCCTCTGAGCAGAGAGCCCGATGTGGAGCTCGATCCCAGGACCCTGAGATGATGACCTGAGCCGAAGGCAGAGGCTTAACCCACTGAGCCACCCAGGCGCCCCATACTCCCCTTATTCTTTAATAACTGTTTAAATTTCCCACCCTGCTCAGACCAGCCTCTTGACTCTCTTCTCTGACTTTCCTCATTTTCTCATTAATTAACCTAACACTAACTTTTTTTTTTTTTCATTTCATGTGTTCTCTATATCCAA